GGATCCACCCCTACCGGGCCCGAAGGCTGAGCGCCTAGGCCGGAGCCGCGCGCAGCAGGTCCTTGGGCAGCTTTTCTCCAGGTTAGAGGAGAGAGCGGGAGAGAGCGGGAGAGAGCGGGAGCATCGGTAAGTTTTAAGAGGAGGAGGGAGGAGGGAACAACCCGGGCCACTTTTCGAGGCGCTTCTCACAACCTGATTTGTGCACAGCAGTTGATTCGGGTATTGATTCATTAGCCGAACTCGGATCGAGTGGGATGAGTCATAAATAAGGCGATGCTACTTTTACAGACAGACGGCTTCATTAATGTCAGCGAAGAAGTGTGTTTGATGTGGGTAAGGAAAATAACAGGGAGCTGCTAGATTCCCATCATAAAGCGCCCAAGATTCACTGGGGAAGACTGAAAAGGGAGTGTCAGGTGGCCCGAGGAGTTCAGGTATCCTTCTGCCGAGACACTTGAGACACTTCTTGTGGGCGAACCAAGGCCTACCTTCAGGAAGAAGTTTGCCAGTCAAAAGAAAGCTATTCGGAAGTTACAAACTTCCAAGCCAGATTGATATATCAAGTATATATGTTATACATATTATGTATATAAGGTGCAAAACCCCAAGAGCAAGAAAAGATACTTCTGGTTGCAGGAATGTTTGCAGTAGGTAACTTTTGATCCTTGTTTTGAAGCATAGGGGTGTTGAATTTTTGTTATGGATAGGCATCGTGGTGCACGCTTGTGTCCCAGCACTTGGGAGGCCAGGCAGGAGGACTGCTGCAAGCCTAGGCCAGCGTAGGCTATGTAGTGAGTTCAAGGTCATCCTGAACTACTGAAAAAAAGTAATTTTTCTTTTATGTTGTGTTTGTGTGTGTGTTTTTTAAAGAGAGTCTCTATGTAGTTCAGTCCGGTGCTTGAGCAAGGAATCATTCTGCCTCCGCCTGAGTGTTGAGATTATAGGTGGGAAAGAACTTGTTTTTAATTTTCCAGCTTAAAATAGCTATTAAAATAACCACGTGCTCACTTTGGCAGCACATATACCAAAATATCTAGATGTAACTTTATTTGCTCAAAATTAAGGTCTTGCTGTTAGATCTAGAAACAAAGCAGAGGTCTTCATATCTCAATCATTATCTTTATTAGGATTACATTTGTGACCCATTAGGAAATAGGTATGGAAGAATTCAGTATAGATCCAGTTTTGAAGTTTTAAAATAAGTTCTTTAAAAACAAGTATTTTTTGAAAAGTTTTTGTTTTTTGGTACCAGAAATCGAACTCCAGGCCTCCTGCTTACAAGACAGGTGTTGTGCCACTGAGCTACATCCCTGGCCCTAAAACAAGTATTTTTAAATTTAAGTGGAAGATACTTCTGTGTTGAAATTCTATTTATTTATTTAGTTTCTTTCTCTTTTTTTGCTGCAAGGTCTCACTATGTAGTACAGGCTGGCCTTGAACTTGCAGTGATCCTCCTGCTTCCTCTTGCCTCAGGCTCCCACAATCTGGGATTACAGGCCTGCACCACCATGCTGGGCTGTGTCGAAATTTTACAGAAAAAAGTTAAGTGCTGGTTGAAAATGTATGGAAGATACATGTTTTCTTTCTTTTTTTTTTTTTCTTTTAAAGACAGGGTCTGACTATGTACTTCAGGCTGGTCTTGAACTATCTCACTATGTAGCCCAGGCTGGCCTCGAACTCCTGGCAACCCTCCTGCATCAGCCTCTCAAGTGCTGGGATGACAGGCATATGCCATCATGCCAACTGGAAGACGTTTTCTGAAGCCAAATGTAAAACTGAATAGTCCAGGATTGTGCAACATGAGTTATGAATGCTGCTTTCATTTTTGGCTTAGTAAAACTCAATTCACATAATTTAGGATTTGAGCCTTTTTTTATTGCTCAACTTCGTGTTGACTTTATTGTACCCACATCTGTGGACATCTAGTTAAGGTCACTGCTTCCTAAGATTGTGTAATTCTAACGTGAACATTCATATAAGCAAGGACTTCTTCAAACTTTAAGAGCTAAACAATTAGATAAAAACATCTTCAAACCTATGAGCAGTTGATTTTAGTGTATATGTGGAATGGGTATTTGATTTTTTTGTTTAGAAACTGATGTTTCCACACATATTTCTTGGATGTTCATTTAATTAAGTCCCTATAAAGGCTTTTTTTTTTTTTTTTGGTACCAGGGATCGAACTTGGGTCCTTGTGCTTGCAAGGCAGGCAGTGGAACCACTGAGCTAAATCTCTGACCCTATTTTATTTTTTTGATACAAGTTCTCCCTATGCAGTTCAGGCTGGCCTTGAACTCAGTTATCTTCCTGCTTCAGCCTGCTAAATGCAGGACAAGTGTGTGCCACCATGCCCAGCTTATAAGGACTTTTAAATTTTCCACATTGGTGCTGGGTTAATTTGATTTAATCCTCTTTCCTGCTTTTCCATGTTTGTGTTGCTCTCATCCTTAATTGTGCTAATCATATTCATTCTTCCAAATCCTGTAAATACAATTTCATTCTTTTTCCTCTGAAAGGACAGGGGGAGTGGTTTAACAAAAAACAGAAATTCTGGACTGATGAGGCTGGAGGATTGCAAGTTCGAGCCCAGCCTGGGTGACTCAGCAAGACTTTGTCTCAAAAAATAAATAGCATTGGGGATGTAGCTTAGGACAAAGTCCCTGGCTTCAAGCCCCAGTACCACAACGAAACACAAACCAACAAAAAGCCCAACACGAGAAAGACAATATTGCTGCCGTATAGTGTACATTATTGTAAAATTTTAAACATTTGATCAATGTCTTACCTAAACATTGCTATTTTAAAGGTCAGCATCTATTTTAGGATGTAGAATTTCTTCCTTTGTTGGGTATTTGGTCATTAAAAAAGCAGAGTTCTCTGCATATTATATTTCATTGGAAACTCCAGTTTCAGTAAGAAATCCTTTCACATTTGAATGCTTGTTTCTGTAGTGTCTAAATAGGAGGAAGATTTTGCTTATTTATCTCAACTGTTTTTCTGCACTGCTGTTAAGATCTTTAACTCAGCTGAAGTTTAGACTACAAAACATATTCTTTTATATCAGTGGTGCTAAGGTTTGAAACGCCTTTTTCTTTTAACACAGTCATTCACCCCATGGGTTTTAGTAACTGAAAAATGTCGAGTGTAAAATAAGACCTAGACCCGGGATGGGGATTTACCACAATGTGGCTGTGCCTGCCTTGCATGCACAAGGTCTTGAGTTCAAACTCTGGTACAGGGGTTGGGGGGGGCATCACAAGACCTAGAGTGGAGGAATTCACTGAGGAAGTTTTTGGTTTGTTTTTTCAGGTAGGGTCTTGCTCTGTCTTGGTGATGCTCCTGCCTCAGCCTCCCAAGCACTGCAATTACAGGCATGCGCCACCACATCTAGAGGGCTGGTGAATATTACATTTGATAGATTCATTAAAAGGGGCCACATCCTAATACAGTTAAAGGGCCAAATATTGTAGGAAAGTTTTAGATTGAGTTTTTTAAGCCTCCCTGGTGGGGGGAGGCTTCTAAAAGCATATTAGATCATACAGTCACCTTGAGGCCATTTGAAGATGCACTGCCAGGGGGACTGGGCTTTAGATATTGAGACACAACACGCCTCTGCGTGGCTTTGTGACTGAATGGTACAGGGTGGGTATGTATCCAAATGTGACCGGCGACTAAGGAGAGTGCTTGTAACTCTGGTTGTCTGCTGTGGAAACGCGGCCCCCACCGAACCTACAGGAGGGCAAGTGCAGAAGGAGCATTTCCGCCTTCTGCTGCCAGGGCTCGAAGAGGACCTTTGATGTTGGTGGGTTTCGGTGAAGGACTAAATATGCTTGGCTTATCACTTTACAGAACCTTCTCACACCAGCCTTCCTTCAGGGAGGAGGCATTGTGGTTTCCACACACTTAGGGGAAGCTGCTCTTGACTACCAGTGACTCGAAGACATGGTGTTAAGGCCAGGCAGCTGGCTGCAGAGATAAAGTTCTATCTCTGGAGACAGGGTTTTGCTATATAGTTCAGGCTGGCCTTAAACTTGGGGTGATCCTCCTGCTTCAGCCTCCCACTGTGGTGGTGGTGAGCACAAAGGAGAAAATAAGCCCCCTGGCTCAACAGGCTTTGACCATGTATGTATCCGTCATCTGGGAGTGAAAACAAGTCTCCTGCCCAGGCTGAGCCCAACCACCCATATCCTGAGACTGCACTGGCAAGTCTGCTGTGGTGCTTTCCCGAGAGGTAGGGAGAGCAGCCACTGGGGTGCAAGACAGGAGCTGCTGGTTTCAAAGTTGGGGACCACAGGTCACTGAAGAAGCTACTGTCATTTCAGCAGCAGGTGCCAGGAGACAGGGCTGAATAGAGAAATGGAAATGACCTGGTTCAAACAGGGCAGAGGGGAAAGCAAAGTCCTTCCAGGAAGCCTGGCCACTGCTCCTGTTGCTTTGGAGGAGAACTGTGCAGATTCACCCTCCGGGGAGACTCATTTCTTAGGGCAGGTTTTGTCGGAACTTGCGTTCACAGGTCCTCCTGAGGCTGCAACCTGTATTTTCTGGTGGTATTTTTTCCTCTTTGAATGGTCTTTGGCTGATGGCAGTGACCTGGGTCTGCGTTGCTTTGGGAATCTATGTGGGCTTTTTTGTTCAGTTTTAAATTCTATGAGATGGTTGAAAAGATGGAGTTACTGTTTTCTTTCTGGTGGGTTCAGAGGAAATTCCTGCCCTTTTAAGGAACTAGGAGAAAGGGGGCAAAAGTGTTACCCTCCAATAATGACATACATAAGAAATTCCATCTTCTTCATCAGAGCTGTGAAGCTCAAAAAAACATTTCCAGCCTACACAGTTTTCCTGAGTATACTTATTAACATGGCTTGAAAATTGTATGTGTCCTTAATTCATAAAACTGTCTCTGGTAGAAAGGGCAAAATATGACTTTTTTTAAAATGCCATTTTTTTTTTTTTAAAGTTCAGGCTGGTCTTGAACTATGTAGCCCAGACTGGCCTCAAATTCATGGAGCTCCTCCTGCCTCAGCTCCCTGAATGCCACACTGCAGGCATGCCAGGCAAAAGTGCTTTTAGAAGGAATGTCACAGCCTTCTCAATGGCTAGGTCAGAACTTTACCTTAATTATTCTTTATACAAGAGATACAGCCTTCTTAGTAGTATACAAAAAATTTAAACCGCTACTGCATGACCTGAATAGAGGTGATATGAAGAAAGCTTGTACGTGGTAATTTGTCAGCTACGTGAGGATGGAAGTAGGTGCTGGAGACATCAGTTCACACAGCAGGGGCTTCTGACTCTACCTGAGGAGACAGCACAAGTCAGCAGGAGGAGAAAAGCAAATAGGGCTGGGCATTTGGTTAGAGGCTGATCAGTAGGGAGCTGAGGCTCACCAGAATCACTGCTTCTGCCTCTCGAATGAAGGGAAGGTGGCCAAGCAGTAATTCTACAGTGGGTCCACCCTCCCCAGAATGGAATTTTTTTTGAGACAAGGTCTACGTATTTTAGGCTGGCCTTGAACTCAGCTACGTGGTTCTGGCCAGCCTGGAACTCACGGCAGTCCTCCTGCCTCAGCCTTCTGAGTACTGGGATTATGAGCATGCATCACCACTCCCAGGTATTTGTTTTTGAGGCAGCCTTCCTAAGTCACTAAATTGCCCAGGCTAGGCTTGAATTTGTGATACTCCTGCCTCCGCCTTCCAGAGTGCTGAGATTACAGGTGTGTATCTAGAATCTATGCCTGGTTGTACAGATTTTGTTTGGGGTGTGTGTGTGTGTGTGTGTGTGTGTGTGTGTGTGTATGTTTGGTTTTTGAGACAGGGTCTCTCTCACTCTGTAGCCCAGGCTGGTCTCTAACTCATAGCTATCCTGCCTCAGCCTTCTGAGTGCTGGGCATACAGGTGTGTCACCACACCCGGCACTGGTTGTACAGATTGTGTGTGTGTGTGTGTGTGTGTGTGTGTGTGTATACTTGGGATCAGACTTGGCTCTGCACTTTCCAAGTGGTGGCAGAACCAGAGCTAAATCCCTGAACCTGTACAGATGTTCTTAAAAAACTACTCTATTAGTAAATCTGCATTTTCATGCTTTTGTTGAAGTAAGCAAACTATATAGCCTTAAAGTCTGAGTTAGGAACTGTTAATTATACCTGAGTTTAAAAGGCAGCACTATTCTCGAGAATTACAGAGTATGAAACCATGTAACACTTAAATCAGTGACCCTGGTACTGAAGCTGGTGTGAACCTTGTGATGTGGTTTCCTCCTGCTTTGCCGTCTTCTTTCCCTGTATGTAATATAAGTCAGTACTTCTGAGTAGCAGCAACAGTGGTGTGATCTTTAGTAGCTTCCAAGTTGCACTTTAAAGTGGTTTTTTGTTTTGTTTTTTTTGGTGCCAGGGATCGAACTGGGGTCCTTGCACTTGCGAGGGAGGTGGTGGAACCACTGAGCTAAATCCCTGGCCCTTAGTGGTTTTAAAAAAATTTTTTAAGGAGTTTTTTGGACAATTGATGACTGACAAACAACAAACAGTTATTATGTGCTGCCAATCAATGTAGAGTCTAGAATATGCCTAGGACTGGTTAAAATCTATTGGCTGTCCCTCACCTCTACACTTAAAGCTGGGAAAATGCCCTCAGCCCTCACACTCGAGAATTCCCACTTTTTTTGGTACCGGAAATTGAACTTGGGACCTTGTGCTTGCAAGGCAGGCGGTGGAACCACTGAGCTAAATCCCCAGCCCTAAATTAATGTATTTTTAAAAGATTTTGGAAAGTACAGAAAAACTTAAGAAAATTGCACATGATATATTAAAATCTAGAGACATTCAATCTGCATTTTGATATTTTGTTTTTTTATGGTGCTGGGGATTTGAACCTGGGGTCTCCCAAATGCTAGGCAGTTGTACCACTGAACCACATGCCTGGCCCATAGTTGTTTTCAAATAATAAAATTTGTTCATAGTGTATCATGCTTAGCTACAAGCGAGTGAACACAGGGTTAAGTAAATTAGTATGAACTTAAGTTCCTTCTCCTAAATATCAGGTGGGGAAAGCTGGCCTCAGCCTGGAGAATGCTGGAGTCCAATACAGTAGCCACTGACTAAGGCTACTGGAGAACTGCTCAAGAATTGGGAATTTCAGATTACAATGATTTTTAAAATACATTTGGTATTATGTTAAGATTGCTTTTTCCTTCAAAATTTGAGTCACGTCATATTTTTTGTTTAATGAGGCACCATGAGTGTCTGTAATGCCAAGTATTTGTTTGAAATACCAGCAGTTTATCTTTCCACATAGCTTGAAATGTTGGTCCCTAAAGCAGTACAGGCTGTGTCTCACCAAAAATGCTTGGAACTAGAAGCGTTGCAGATTTTGGAGTTTGTTGATTTTGAATTATTTGCACAGACTTTGCCTGTGGAGCATCTAAATTTGAAACCTGAAATGCTCCAAAATTTGCAGCTTTTTGATTATCACCTCAGTGATAGCAGATTTTGTTAGAGGGGCTCATCCTGTGACCCCCAGCTATTTAGGGTGAAGTCACCTCCACAGATGGCCCACGTTCCTGCTTTAAATGGTGGCGGTTTGCTCCTTTCCAGGCGGGTGCCACGTCTATGTGGGCTTCATGCTGTGGGCTGCTGAATGAAGTCATGGGAACTGGAGCTGTCAGGGGCCAGCAGTCAGGATTTCCAGGAGGCACTGGGCCGTTCCGATTCACACCAAACTCCGATTTTTCTTCCTACCCACCAGCAGCTGCGGAAGGGCCTAATATAACCTGCAAAGCCTGTGGACTTGCGTTTTCAGTCTTTAGAAAGAGGGTAAGTTGGATGAAATGTCACATACCAAAGACATGGGGATGAGAATTCTTGACTGGAGGCTATGTCAAACAGGCACTGGATTACCCTTTTCATAGTTTTAATTTTGTTGAGGGTATGTGTTGTTCAGGTGTGGTCCTTGAACACGCAGTGACCCTCCTGCCTTAGCCTACTTAGTGCTGGGATCACAGGCATGCCCCATCAGGCCCAGCTTTCCAGAAACTCGATTTTTTGGTACCAGGGATTGAACTCAGGACGTTGTGCTTGTGAAGCCAGTGGCGGAATCACTGAGCTAAATCCCTGGCTTTTCCCTCTACTTTTTTGACAGGGTCTCATGTAGTTCATCTTGGCCTCAAATTTACTATGCCAGGATGGCCTCAGATTTTCATTGATCCTCCTGCCTCAGCCTCAAGTACTGGGATTACAGGTGTGCACCTCACACCCAGCATCTTTTTTCAAATAAGGAAACTGTTCTCAGAGGAACAGACCTGGAAGAAAGACTGTTTGCGCTTCTTGCTCACTCCATATGGCTCAAGTCAGCTCTGTTCTACTAATTACATGTTTGGTACGAGGGGCGGAAAGGCTTTAATTCATTAACATGGGGTGTGTTTTTCCTAAAGGGCTATATTTGAACTGTGAAGTGAAATTTGAACCAAGCAGTGACTCTAGTGATTTCCATTTTAGTTAAGAAAACTAAAATGTCTACAAATAGGTTGGTACCATGTAACTTGACAAAAGCCAAAATGTAAATTTTAATAGAAGGCAGAAAGGAACCGTGTTTCCATGCTGGCCTGTGTCTTGCAATTGTGAAATGCTTCTCTTCTTCAGCATGTGTGTTGTGAGTGCAAGAAGGATTTCTGTTCCGTTTGCTCGATCTCCCAAGAAAACCTCCGTCGCTGCTCCACCTGCCACTTGCTACAGGAGACGGCCTTTCAGCGGCCACAGCTGATGCGCCTGAGGGTGAAGGACCTGCGCCAGTACCTCATCCTGCGGAACATCCCCACCGACACCTGTCGCGAGAAGGAAGACCTGGTGGACCTGGTACTGTGCCATCACGGACTGGGCTCTGAGGACGACCTGGACACCAGCAGCCTCAATTCTTCCCGCTCTCGGACATCCAGCTTTTTTACCGAGTCCCTGTTTTCACACTACACAGCCCCCTCCGCCACCGAGTCCTCCTTCCTGGGAGAACCTGTGGGTGGAGGCCACACCTCCAGGTCTGGAGCCCTGGCACAGGTACGAGGATGTGGTTGGTGGCTGCACACGGGGTCCTGTGCCCCAGACGGCATGGGGGGTGAAGTGCTGTCCAGGCCTGGCCAGCCCTGCCTATATGGGCTTGATATGGCCTGAGGGGTACAAAAGGGGCTCATTGGTTTCTTGTCCTTGGTGAGCTCTTTTCCCAACTTCCAGAATTAAAAAGTAACTGTGGAAGCAGTGACGCAGAAGTAGCACATACACACCCGCAGTTCACTGGCTACAGATCAGCGGATGAGAGCTGCCCGGGTTCGGGACAGTGCAGTCATTCACCAACTGAACACTGTCCTCTCCAGGCCCCGAATCGGTATCACACAAGGGCTGGGGACTGATGCTCTCTTATGAGACTGGGTCTGTAACTGTGGTATTATGTGCCTATGATCTCAGCCACTCAAGACAACTGAGGCAGGAAGGTTGCAACTTTGAGACTTGCCCAGACAACACAATGAAATCTCATCTCAAAAATGTATTTTTCAGTATTTTGTTTGAGAATAAAGGCTGAATTGTTTTGAACAGTTTTCTCCCCTGAACAAAAGGGTTATTAAAAGCAGAGAGAAGTTTGGTCTAGCTGCCTTCCAGAATTAGAAAAGCCCAAGCCAGGAGTTGTGTTTGTTTACATGAAAACTGGCCTGACTCTGATACAGACCTGAGACACATCTGACTTTGTACCACTTCTGCAGAAAAGGCACCATTTGGAGGCGTGGGTGGTGGTGCTTATGAATCAGAAGAGTACAGTGTTTGAAACTGGAAACTGACCCAGACGATTGTAGAGCCACAGTCAAAATAAAACCTGTAAGAAATGTATGTAACCCAAATTGAAAGGACTTCTGGTTTTCCTGAAGGAAAGAGTACTTCTGTTGCGGCTTTTTTTTTTTTGAGATAGTCTTGCTACACAGCCAAGGCTGGCCTTGAACTCAGAGATCCTCCTGCTTCTGTGGAGCAGGAGCCTCCCCAGTGATGGGATGCTTGGCTTCTGCTGCCATGCTTGGCTTCTATAGTTTTAAAATCTAGAATCAGCATTGCCAGCTGTGAGGAAGCCTAGAAAGCCTGTGGAGCAAGTGGTCTGATGTAGTTGGATCGGTCGCCCCCATACTTGTGCTGAGCCCAGGCACAGTTCAGCTCTTTCCTGGCCCTTTTAGAGGCTCCAGTTAGGCCACCTGCAGGTCCCCTGATCCCTGCTAACGCAAGGTCCACACTATCTCGTGCCTTCCTCGGGTATAAGTGCTGGTCAGGCCGTGTAGGGCCTCACAGTGACTCAGTGGCAGGCAGTGCCAGGAGGAGCAGCTGACTTTGGATCCAAAGGTTCAGCACGGGCCAGGCATTTGGGTCATTCTCAGGGAGGTGGGTGGAGAGCTTTCCTCTTGACAAGGGTTGCTCCTGTTGCTTCCTCGTCTAACCAGAAACATGGCATCTATAGGCACAGAGTGAGGCGGCAGCAAACACGGAAGATGACGATGATGATGAGGACGAGGACGACGACGAGGATGATGACGACGACAACTTGGAGGAGCAGGTGAGGCCAGTGGAACCTGGTTTCCCTGTCTTCATGTGGCAGAGGGAGATGCCGTGTAGGCCCTTTCTGGCCAGCACAGGCTGCTTAACCCGGCCAGGGCAGAGACCGGGGGCCCAACCTAGGCATGGTGGTGACAGCGGCCGCTCTGCTTGCAGACACCTGGGCTCTCCCGGAAGAGGGCGAGAGCCTCGCTGTCCGACCTGTCCAGCCTAGAGGAGGTGGAGGGCATGAGTGTGCGCCAGCTCAAGGAGATCCTGGCCCGCAACTTCGTCAACTACTCCGGCTGCTGCGAGAAGTGGGAGCTGGTGGAGAAGGTCAACAGGCTGTACAAGGAGAATGAGGAGAACCAGAAGTCATGTAGGTGCCCTGCTTCCTTCCAGGGACTCCTAGACAGAGCATTTGCCACAATCAAGTCAGATTTATTTTTGAGAAAATCACATAACTTTTCAGTGAGTACAAATCCCATTTACAGATGCATTAAGCAGAAGGTTTATTCTGTGGAGTTGCCAGGTGAGTCGGGTAATACTGGTTTCCTTACCATCCCTAATGTCATGTTAGAGCCTTAGAGGCTCCATGTGAATAAGAGAACCTGGGTAGGTCGTCATCTCAGTTGCAGCTTTTAACCCTCACACGGCGGGGAAATTCACTCCAGATGCTAAGGTTCAGTCCATGGTCTCCTTGTGTATTACCAGATGGCTAAGTAAGCCTCAGCGCTCAGGTTGAACATAGCTAGATTATTTATTGATCAAGTGTGGCCTGGAATCCTCCCTCAGCTGATGACAGGGCCAAGTGACAGCCTCTGTGGCCATTCAGTGATGTTCAGACTAACAAACGTGATGTTCTTATCTGGACTTTCGTGGTGGGTGTATGGTGCACGTACACCTATAATCCCAGCACTCAGGAGGCTAAGGCAGGAGGGTCACTTGAGTTCAAAGCTGGCCTGAGATACATAGGGAATTCAAGGCTAGCCTGGACTACACAGCGAGTCTTTCTCAAAAAGCAAGACAACAAAATCCTCAACTCTTACCTTGAATTTGTTTTTCTTTAAAGCCAGTTATAATGCATTAGTTTTTGATGGACAGGTTTATGGCTAGAATAGGTGAAAAGTAGCCTGGCACACCTCCTTGTGGGACGCTGCTGCAGCTCGACGCTCCTGGTGCAGGGGCCACATGTGTTGTTTCCTGTTACTGCTCACTCTCAGGCTGGTTCAAATCTGGCTTGGAGAAAAGTGTGTTGTTTTAAGCACAGCTGGCACCTCCCATGTGTCTGGCCTCAAGCAGCTGTGACAGGCAGGGGTGCCCGCAGGAGTCCTTGGACCGTCTGTATTATGCCTGTGTGATGCAGAGGTGGAGGGGACTTCCGAGGCTCAGACTCCTGCTCGGAAATCTCGTCTTCAGTGTAAGGCCCTCGTGACACAGCATGCTGCACTTCTCATTCTGTGCTTTGTATCCCTGCTCAGGATCCCTGTTGGTCCCCTCTGAATGTAGCCAAGGGTCTGTGGCCACATTAACCTCAACGCGACCACGCTCGTCTGAATGCAGACGGGAAGGCTCTCACTCAGGGCCTTCTTACCCGGAGAAGTACTCTGGCACCCTCAGAGCCCAGGGCCTTTCGATTCTTTACTCAAAGTACAGAGTTAACATAGCCTCAGCACAAACACCCTGGAAGATAGATAGCAAGGTATAAAGTGGAAGCCGCTAACACTGCTTAGGTGTTTCCTAGCTGGCCCCCGGAGTCCTCACAAGACCAAGGCGCGGGTGTGAGGGATGTCGTCCTCTGCTGCACTGGGGACCCGGCCTGCAGGGGCCCCAGCTCTCCTTTGCCTTGCAGACGGTGAGCGGCTGCAGCTGCAGGATGATGAGGACGACAGCTTGTGCCGCATCTGCATGGACGCTGTCATCGACTGCGTCCTGCTCGAGTGTGGGCACATGGTCACCTGCACCAAGTGCGGCAAGCGCATGAGCGAGTGTCCCATCTGCCGGCAGTACGTGGTGCGGGCGGTGCATGTGTTCAAGTCCTGAGACCGCGACTGCCTGGCTCCATCCCACACATTTCTGTGTGCAGAGCGACTGGAAACTCACTGTTCAAAGGCAGAAGCTATTTTTAAAAGTTACTTTCATCACTAATGGTGATGGGACAGGCCGGTTTCCTGAGTGGAAGACACAGCGGTCCATGCCGCGGGCCTGTGGACACTGAGCCATGTTCTGCCAGGCCTGTCCCTTGTCCCCGGAACTGGTGACCCTGTGCAGCATCCTGTCCTGACCCTCCCCGCCCTGTGTGGACACTTTTGTGTTACTGGAAGGGGTGAACTCAGTCGTGGTGCTGATGGGGCACGCACCACGTGGCAGACCTGCGACATTCCCTGTAGTCGTCACGTGTATTTTAAATGCCAACGCTTGATGAATGTAAGTCTCCACACCGTTGCTATTCCTGCAGTTCAGCCTAATTGGGAACCAACATTCTGTAGTCAACTGCCAGGGCCTTAGACTAAACATGTCCATTTCTGTTCAGGTACAGCTTTTTATAGCAAGGGCTGCCTCTAGCTTCTTACGTTCCAAGAGTGTGTGCTGCGTTCTCATTAATGTATGATCAGTTTACACTATTTTGTAGAGTGAAGCTGTATTTTTCGTGCTATGTGCTAGATAATTTCAACTTTAGAAATAAAATCAGATTTAAAAAATGCTTGAGCTCACATGGTCTTTGTCAGCTCCTAGCTCACTCCCATGTAGCAGAACAGGTGTCTGTGTCCTGGGCTGGGCCTTATTCACAGAAGCCATCTCCAACCCAGTGCTGATCCGTGCTGCTACTCACCAGTGAGGCCAGCTACTGATGGTCTTTACTGGGGGTGTGTGTGCAGTACTGGAGATTGAACCCAGTGCCTTCAAACTGAGCTATAATACTATATCTGTTTTTTATTTTTTATTTTTTTATTTTTTTGAGACAGGCTCTCACTAAGTACCTCCTAAGTTGCCCAGGCTGGGCTTGAACTTGAGATCCTTCTGCCTCAGCCTCCAGGGCACTGGGGTTATAGGCACACACCACCAGGCCTGGCTTAGCCAGTGTTGTGCTAGGCGCTACAGTGTTCTCCAGCAGGCTGCACAGGGAAACCAGCCTCTGGGAAGTCCAGGACTCATCTAAGTCCTCACCTTTGAAAATGGCTGCAGCAGCAGCCAAAGCCCTCTGAATACTCGTGGCAAGTAAGCAGTGTGTAGGCTATCACCCCACATAGAAAAGGCCCTGCCATCTCTTTAGGTCCAGCTTGAACCAGAGTGGCTTTTGGTGGAGCCCAAGTGGACTCACCCCACTGGCAGTGGGCGGATAGGCTTTTAGGAGACAGCTGATTTGTCAGGCAGGTCATCAGCTAACTTCTGACTCCACGTTAACACACACTTTTATGTACTGTGCTCTGGATCAACGAGTCAAATCATTAAACCCTAAAGTGGCAGCCGTGTCCTTAGAAGAGGCAGAGAACCACCCTTGTGTAGAGGGCAGAAAGTCTGGCTAACTGAGGAGAAAAGCATGGCTTTCTGCCTTTGCTCAATCCGTAGTCAACACAGGTCCATCCTTGCTGCAAGGGTATCTGGATGCTGTCTCACTGGCTGGAGGCCAGGAGGGTGTCTGGCTGCTGCAGCCAGCAGTGCCCAGCTGAGGTGCCTGGTTCTTCACCTCATCCCTGCTTCTCCATGGGAACACTCAAAACACCTCTCCCTAAGGTCTTAACTTCGTGGTAGGAAGTCTTTATATTCAGGCCAGCAGGTAACAACAAACATTTAATAAACAGAAGGGAGGCTGCAGATGCTACTTTTGTTTGTTGAAAGTTAAATTTAAAAATTCAGATTTATGTATACACAGTCTGGGCCAAAAGCAGCTTGTTTACTGGTTCCTTTGGATTTTCATATTAGATCTTTGGTCCTCCCTTATAGCCAGAGTAAAAACTTCATGGTGGAATTTTGAAGTAATCCTTCCAGAGTGACAGCTTGACAAGGCACAGGCAGCCCTTGGCATCCGTGGGTTTTCCAGCTCTGAGTCCCCCCCGTAAGGAGGACCAAAAGTCATCCAAAAAATCTATACAAAATTTGTGCTCTTTCTGGTTTCCCGTCACTCCCTAGACAGTAAGCAAACTCCATTCAGCACTTCCTTCGCTGCAGGTGCTGCACTGTGGACAGAGGGTGTGAGGCAGCCCAGACGCAGGGCTGGGGTGCAACTTGGTGGCCAAGAACCTGCCCGGCTTCTGTGAAGCCCCGGTTCCATCTACAGAGATGTGAAAAACACATGCGTGCACACCCCCAACGATATGCGCAAGTCATGTGTGGGCGTGATAGCATTTTAGAAAGTGACTTAGCATCCAAGGATTTTGCTGTCTGGGCTGTCCCAGCACCAGCGCCCCATGGACACCAGGGACAGAGCTGACTTGTTCAGGAGTGAACACTTCCCCAGAAGCTGCTGTGCTCTCTCCGGCATGTGCTGCCTCTGTGCGTCTGCTGTGGAATAAGAGGGTGTCAGGGATGAAACTCAGAAGGTCCACAATGGAAAACGGTGGCATGGCGCCACCTCGTCCCTGTTCTCCCAACTGAAAGGGTGACTGTTGTTCTAGGCATCAGTGCATCTTCCTGAAGGGAAGAGCAGAGCCTCCCCTTGTCTGGGCTGGGAAGCCTGACTCAACACAGCAGGCATGCTCAGGCTGGCTGCACTGGAAGCTCAGACATAAACTGGCCTGGCACTGCTGTGATCTTAACGGGGAGCTCATCTCTGCCCTCCGCTGCGGTGGCCTCTTCCCATCTGGAGATTCACATCCTCTGCTCCAATGCGTTTCCTAATGGTGGCCCCTGGTCGCCTGGCCTTTGAGACTTCAGGGACCCCCACTCCATCACTGTCCTGCCCACAGCCAGAGTCTAGGTGGGCCACTAGCAGGTGACCATAGGCACCATTCATCTCAAACCGCAAAGACCCTCAGGGCCCTTCCCAGGAAAGAGACAATCTCCCGAAACTGCAGTGTAACTGATGGACACAGCAGGCCAAGGACAAGGGAAGGGCCTCTGCGAGACAGACATCAGGCCTATGAAGCTTGGTGCATTCTTACCAACTACAGCATTAAGTTTAGGATCCTGCGTCAGTCTGATTCCAAAACAGCCTTTGTGTTTACAGTAAGAGGCATGACTTCAGAAGGGATCTGAGGTTGTACCCCTTTTTTTGAGAGTCTCGCCATGTAGTTCAGGCTGACCTCTAATTCACAGCGGCCCTCCTGCTCAGCCTCTCAAATGCTAGGATTACAGGTGTGCACCACCATACCTGGCCACAGCACTATTAAACCATTTTGCCTGCCAAAGAGAAAGATGAGGGGCAAATACATAAGTAGACAGAAGGGGCTTAGGTCTTGTGTTGCCTTTGATTATTATGGAAAAAGAAAGCTTGTTATCTCCTCCACCTTTAGATTCTCTAGAGCAGTGTTTCTGTCATCTGAAATTACTTAGCACTATCTTCTTTGGCCTCCCGAGTGCTTACAGATGTGCGCCACCACGCCTGGCTTGTCACTAGTTTCTGTGTTTGCAGCTCAGGAAGTCGCTGTATAGCCAAGTCTTTTCGCCCATCACAGCCCCAGGCCCTCCTTTAGCAGCCCCTGTGGGGTTAGGGAAATGACACCTAAGTCTGGGGAACTTCTAGGAAGGGTGATGCCAGGAGGTGCCCCCAGGTGGCCCTTGTCTCTCTACATGTGGCCATTATGGTGGTCTCTGGGCACAGATAGACGTGTCCCTCGGGGCAGCTACATTTATCAGGTGAAAGAGAACGGTACCCCGTGGGCCCCCAACTCCCTAGTGCTGAGCCTCCCTGTTACATCTCTAGTCCTCTCCTAAAACAAAAACCCCCGAAGACCGTGAGAGCTTTTTTGTACAATTGTTTATACAAATTCAACAAAGGTAAAACCGCGTTGGGGAAGGTCTAGGAAACACCACCAGAGACAATGGCACTTATGAATGCAGAACTTCACAACTAGCAAACGGCCAGCTCACAAACCTAAGTGAGAACTCAGCTCACTTCAAAGGCGAGAACCAAAGGAAAAACCGCCGAGTGGGCGCATTTATTCTACTCCTTGACTCACAGGATAAATTAGGTCGAGGTGAGGTATAAGAGCTCATGCTGGAGCAAACCCCTCCTGAGTGCAAAGGCTGAAGTTTCAAATGTAAAATCTTAAGGAAAAAAAAAAGTGACTTCTCTACGGAGGAAACTTGGCAACGTGTCTTACTTGGACTATAACTCACATCTATCCACAACATGCTCGTGTGGCTTCCTGATGTGCACGGTGGGCTCTGGCTTCCGGCTACACATGCTTTTAAGCGGAAGACTTGCCCACCGGCTCAGGTCTGGGCACATCTGTGTCGATGAAGGACAGGTTAAGTTCTCTCCTCCCTGAAGGGAACCAGGAAGGTTGGCAATCTCAAGACAATAAAAACACTGGTATGCATTCAAACCTTGCATAAATAACTTTTAAACAATTTGTACAAAAATAGTTCTGCATAATGTAGGATGTAACAAAACCAAACAAAATGTGTCGGGATGGCAGCAGATATGGCGTGTGGTCCACTTCATGTTGACACCAAAACCCTTGACCTTCCAAGGAACTGGGTGTCCGAACAAAAACACCACCAAAGAAACCCCCAACCCCACGCCCACGCCGGCCCTCCTCCCAACCAGAGCGTCCCCTCCAAGGCTGCCTGAGAAGCGCCCCAGAGAGCAGGCCCCTCACTCGCTGGCGGGGGCTCAGCCGCCTCGCCCTGTCGCCTGCGGTCCCGGTCTGAATTCAGTGGGAAACAGAGTCCTCCGTGGCTGTAAAGTCTTTCCCTGCCACCCCCTCCACCCTGCCCCATATTTACACGCTTGTCCTTGGACTAGCTCAGTTTTTGCAGGAGTTTTTCTTCAACTTGCCCGAACTGGACACTCACGGACATCTCGGCGATGAACTGCTCACAGCCTTCCTTGGTGACTTGCTTGCAATACCTCAGGTCAATATGGCAGATGTTCCCACAGCGTTTGAAGAAGGACAGGCACTGATCAGTGACCTTATTGCAGTCTGCAGGGGAGAGGAGACAGTATGAGGAGGAGGGCATGGGGCCCGCAGACCCCTGACCCAATGCTCCACAGAGCCTTGCCTCAGAGGAGATGACGTTTGCCCCAGGGCGCCCTTGGTGGACATAGGTCCCCATCTTCCCCCGCCCCCGCCCTCCAGTGTCCCATCCCCACAGGGCTGCCTCTGCCTACAGGGTCCCCCGTCCGCAGTCCTGAGCGGCACTCCTGTCCTATGCTGCCGAGGACGCATGTTCCTATGGGTCAGCCTGGAACCCTCCAGGCAGCGCCGCTCACCGTCTCCCCGATCCCAAGGGCAGAGCACAAGCGGCCCCTCTGCTGACTGCGCTTGCACACGGCTCGCAGCGGGGACTTCTCTCCTGCCAGTTTCATCTGGAACTGAAGCCAGAGCCAGGTGGCTTCAATGCCAGTCCACACCCAGCTGAGACTCGCTGCACAGGCGAGGGAAGCTCCCTTCCCAGCACAGGAAGGAGCCCAGGGCATCACCATCGTCATTTTCATCCAGCCAGGCCCACAGGCTCATCGGCCGGTGGGGAAGCGGAGCCAGCACCAAGTCCCCACCAGCACCTGTACGGCAGGCAGTGCTTCCTAGGGTGCAGAGCAGACCCGTGGAGACACCTCAGTCCCCACAAGGCGGGAGGGCTTCAAGAGCTTGGACTGGCGGTGCCAGGATGCTGCCTTGGCTGACCAAGGACCTGCCTGTAATCCCAGTACTGTAGGAGGCTGAGGCAGGGGGACAATTTTGACTTCAGCCTGCACAACTTAGCTCAATCCTGTGTGAAAATAATAAAGGGCTGAGGATGTGGCTCAGTGTTTAGGCCCTAGGCTCACTTCATAACACCACAAAACTGTAGCCTTGCACTTCATCCAGGTGACTGCAGTGAATGCCTCAGGTGTCTCCCCAAGGTCACTGCCCCTTGTACTCAGACAAGGAGGGGTGTGCGAGCACACTAGCTTGCTACCCTTCTGGAGAAATCAGGCCCCAAAGTCAAAACCTGATTCATTCCAAATGGATGGGCACTCTACCAATATGAGAAAACACACATTTCCATATTAGCTTTGCTTTCTTTTTCATCACTTGTTTGTGATTCTCAACTTTTTCTTTCTTTTTTTTTTTTTTTGGATACCAGATCTTGCTATGTAGTTCAGGCTGGCCTCAAACCCATGGTGATCCTCTTGAATGGTAGGATTACAGGTGTGCTCCACCACACTCAGCTTTTTTTTTTTGCTGTTTTTTGAGTCAGGGTTTTGCTATGTAGTTCAGGATAGCTATGAACTCATGATGATCCTTCTGCCTCGGCCTCCTGAGTGCTGTGACCACAGGTGTGTAACACACACCCAGCTAACACAGGCCTTTTTTCCAGTCAGAGCCGCTTACGGCGTCCCTACAGCTCTGGCCACATCAGCAGCCCTGGGGTGGAGGCCTAGGTGTCAGTGGGATTGGTGGTAGGCGGGCCCAACACACACCAGGGAGTGTGGGGCTCCCTGAGGGATGCTCTCCTCCACCCAGCTGCCTGGGTGAAAGGCTCTCTTGGGCTCCAAGTCCAGAGATTTCGAACCTACAGTCAGGGAGCACCCCTGTCCCACGCATGGACTCTGTGACCGGGGTCCCAGGCTGGGAGTTCACCCTCAGGAACCACAACCACGTCTGTCCGCAGCAGGCCACGTCTGTACCTGTTATCTGTGAAGTGTTCTTGCCAGAAATGTCTAACCTGGATCTAAGCAAGCCCCTGGCCTACATCTGACGTTCCCAGGAGAAATGGAGCAGAGAACAAATCAAAAGACACCATGAGGCCAACAAACAAATCCTAGATGCCAAAGATGTTTTTGTTTTTTTTTGGTACCAAGGATCGAACTCAGGTCCTTGCATTTGCGAGGCAGGCAGCGGAACCACTGAGCTAAATCACCTCGCACCCTCCCCTTTTTTTACAAAGATGTTTTCTAAGAGAACAACTATGCAGGCGGGGCTGTCAGGCCGGTGTGTGAGTGGCGCTTGCTAAGGACTGGGGGGCAGGCAGTGGTGGGAACAAACCCAAACTCAGGCTGCTCTTCATCCCCAGCCCTTTGTCTGAAGACAGCTAATGACAGGGAAGGTCTGTTCAGTATGTGGCTCAGATGTCACAGAAGAGTGCAATGAAAAATGTAAAGAATTTTATCTTATCATATTGGGAAAATCCCTATCCTGTTTCAATTTAAAATGAATCACGTTCAGCCGGGCGTGGTAGTGCACACCTGTAATCCCAGCACTTGGGAGGCTGAGGCAGGAGGATCACTGTGAGTTCGAGACCATACTGGGCTACATAGTGAATTCTAGGTCAGGCTCAATTACATAGTGAGACCCTGTCTCAAAAAACCAAAAATAAAGAAATAAATACATAAATTAAATAAATCACATTCAAAGCCAGGCATGGTGGTGTACACCTGTAATCCCAACACTCAGGAGGCTGAGGCAGGAGGATCGCTGTGAGTTCGAGACCAGCCTGGCTACATAGTGAGTTCCAGGTCAGTCTCAACTACATAGTGAGACCCCGTCTCAAAAAAACCAAACAAACAAACAAACATATAAAATAAATCACATTCAGCTGGGCACAGTGGCACAGGCTTGTGATCCTAGCACTCTGGAAGTCTGAGGCAGGAAAATCACAAGTTTGAGCCCAACCTGGGCAACTTACTGATACCCTGTGTCAAAAATTAAACAAAAGGGGCCAGGGATTTAATTTAGCTCAGTGGTTCCACCTGCCTTGCAAGCATGAGGACTCGAGTTCCATCCCCAGTAGCAAAAAAAAAAAAACAAAAAAAACCAAAACAACCCAGCACAGAGATCTTTCTTTTTCTTCTTTTTTTTTGAAGGGAAAGGTTTATTTAACTCACAATTTACAGCATTTTCAGCCCATAGTCAGACAGCACTGTGTCCTTATTCCAGGACACTGTACTCATGAGGATTTACAGGCATGCAGGGGTGGAGCCCGCAATCTTCAAACCACCACATAGAAAAGGCACAGGGAGAGAGCAAATGCACCACACATAGCATTCAAAACTGCTGCGGTTAGCAGGAAGGCACAAGGTGTGTTCACCACGCTGTTTTCCACTTTTTCCATCTGAAAATGTTCAAAATATAAAACTGGTAGTGTGAAGAATCTTTATGCCCAGGTCTACCCTAAGTTAAAGGTAATTTTTCTCAGATTTTGTAACAGTGAAAAATATACTCAATGAAAGGACTAGAATTAAGTGTTACAGTATAATCCATAAAAAAAAACTCCTACACCTGGTAACAAAATGAAGTTCTAGACATATCAGGGCCAGGGATTTAGTTCAGTGGTTCTGGCACCTGCCCCACAAGCACAAAGACCCAAGTTCCATCCCTGGTTCAAAAAAAAAAAAAACAAAAACAAAAACAAAAACAAAAACAGATCAAAGCATTAAAAAAAAAAGACACATATATGGTAAAGAAAAATAACATTATTTGCAGGTGGCAGTACTGGGACACTCAGCCACTGAGCTATGTTGCTGATACTTTTATTTAATTTGAGGCAGGGTCTCACTTATAAATTGCCAGGCTGGCCTTTAACTTGCAATCCTCCTGCTTCAAGCCTTCCAAGTATCTAGGATTGCAGGTGTGGGCCACCACTCTCAGCAGATGAAAAAACCTTCTATACAGAAAATCCTAAAGATCCCTCTCATGGCCAGGCGTGGCAGTTCACGCCTGTAACCCCAGCACTTGGGAGGCTGAGGCAGGATTGCCTAGAGTTGAAGGCAGCCTGGGCCACACAGTGAATTCAAGGCCGGCCTGAACAACGCAGGGAGACAGACTGTGCCTCAAAAAAAAAAAAAAAAAAAAATCCCATCCTTGCCAAAGAAAATTGGTTCTTAGGGCTGGGGATTTAGTTCAGTGGTGCTGCTTCTGCCTTGCAAGCTCAAGGTCCTAAGTTCGATCCCTAGTGCCACAACAAAACAAAACATAACAGGTTCTTTTCTAATAAACAACTTCAGCAAAGTTGTTGGTGCAAAATCAAGACACAAAAACAAGCTGCCTTTCTAAATGATATCAGTAACAGTATGAAAGAAAATTATTAAGTTCATTTATAGAACCACGAAAGGAAAAAAACTGACAACTACAAGAGAGTACTAATTAAATAAGACATAAGGAAAAAGCCTTCCTTGTCTGGGTTTTAAGACTTAATACCCTCAGTTCCACTCAGAGATCTAAATGCAATGAAGGTGCTATAAAAACCCCTAATGTATTTTTTTGTTTTTTGCAGAACTAGAAATATCTAAAAATTCAGATTTTTTTTTTTTTTTTTTTTTTGTACTGGGGATTGAACTCGGGTCCTTGTGCTTGCAAGGCAGGCGGCAGAACCACTCAGCTAAATCCCCAGTCCTAAAAATTCAGATTTAATTGCAATGGAGCCCAGCTTGCCCAAGCAATCTTGAAAAACTAAAGAAACAAAACTGCAGTATTGGTTTAAGGACACATACAGACCAATGGAATAGAACTGAGTCCTGAAATAAATTCTTGAGAAGAACCTGGCATGCTAGTGCACATCTGTAATCCTAGCCCTTGGAAGGCTGAGGCAGGAGGATTACCCCAAGTTCTAGGCCAGCCTGGGCTCCCTAGCGAATTCAAGCCCAGCCTGAACTATGTAGTGAAACCCTGTCTCAGAAAAAGAAAAAGGGCAAGGGTGTCAACACCTCTGAATAAAGTCTTTACATCACAGGTGATGTGAAAATTAGACATACATGTGCTAAAGAATAAAAGTATACCCTCTGCCACACATATATACAAAAATTTACTCAAAATGACTCAAAGACTTAAAACTATAAAACTCATACAGAAAAAAAAAACATACAGAGAAAAACCTTTACAACGTTTAGATTTGGTAATGACCTCTGATGTGAAACCAAAAACACACGAAAAAGGGAGAGGGGGAATAAATTAGACTTAAACAAGAGAGAAGGTTTTGGGTGATGCTGCACTTGACTGGGCAAGCAGGGTCCTGAGTTTGATTCCCAGTACCAAAAAAAGAATGTTTTTCTCTTTTTGTTTTGTTTTGTTTTTTGAGGCAGGGTCTCACTCTCTAGTTCAGGCTGGGCTTGAACTCACTGCGATCCTCCTGTCTCAGCCTCCCAAAGGCTAGGATTATAGGTGTGCACTAGCATGCCAGGTTCTTCTCAAGAATTTATTTCAGGACTCAGTTCTTTTCCATTGGTCTGTATGTGTCCTTAAGCCAGTACTGCACTGTTTTGTTGGATCCTCCAACCACCTTTATGAACACTAAAACAGGCCAAATGCTTTCTGTTTTGTAGCAGACTGTATAACTCCACTACTTTCACCTATGGGAAGGGAAAACCAAACTAGGAGCCAGCAGGCACGCCAACAGATACTGTCTGTCTTCACAGACTTTGTAACTCGCAGTAAGAACTCAGAACTCTCTGTATGTATGAGGCAAGACGACCTCACTGTGCTGTGGTGGGAAACACAACACAAATGGTGCTGCAGGGAGGATGTCAGACTGCACTCTGCCACACATGGAGATGGCAAAACTCTGCGCCAGGAGCGCAGTGGCTCCGCCATCCTGAGTCCCCACATCCTTCTCAAAGGGCAGCTGTCACCAGTGCTAGCCCATTCCTTGGGGGAACCCCTTCACATGGCTCTTCCCCCTTCACAATCCCTACCATCAAAAGGGTGATCAGGCACAACTAACCGTAGGCTGTTGTGACAGCAAACAATTCAAGAACCCCTGATCCGGATGAAGTACACAGCATGGGGAAGTGTGTAAAACTAAGGGTGCCCTTTAACACTTGGTCATCTCTTCAATTTCTCGTGGTCCCAATCCAACATCCCTGGTCCTGAGCACCCTGAGCTATCAGAAACCCTGGCAGCACCATGCCACGTCCACATGCCTCTATCCACAACCTTCAAACCAACTCCTGCCCACCAGCCAGCAAGAGGTGACTGTCCTGTGGAGCTTCCTCTTCCTCTGCAATAGGCCTGACAGCAGGGGTTGTGAGGGGCACACGAGCAATGCTCACAAAGGCAGAGCTGGAGTTTCTACACAACTGCTGGCCACGGTGGAAACCCTGCTCACACGGCCCTGGGCCACTGTCGCAGCGCCTGCTGCCAGGCTGTCTTACACTCGGTCCACACCACCTTGGACACCACTCTGCTGCTTTTGTTGGAATCACACAATGTGAACAGATGCATGTCATGCACGCCTCACCTCTAGACCAGGCTGTCCTATTCCCTGGCCCGTCCCGGCACCTAGCCCCAAATAGAGTGGCCCTGGGCAGACACACAGGGTCCTGCGCACCTGACAGGATGATCTCGGTCAGAGAGTCCCGGGTGGTGGTGCCGACCGCAGTGAGCAGGTTGATGGACTGGTCTGTGACGTGGTTACAGTAACTGAGGTGCAGCTTGGAGAGCAGAGGCATGTGGCGGATGATGAGCCGCAGGGAGGCATCCGTGATGTCCAGGCCCGCCAGGCGCAGCTCCACGATGTTCCGGAGCTTACTCCGATTATCCATCTGACCTGGGGACATAGGCAGAAGAGGGGCGGCTGGTCAGGCTGACAGGACACCCTAAGCAGCCTACCGACCAAACTTAACACTTAGATTTCAATCAGCCATGAAATGCTCCTCCCAAATCAGAATTCTAACATCCAAAGTCAGAGGTCTAGATCCTCTGGTAAAATGAAAAAAATCTAGAAACCCAACACACATCGCATCCAGCAGCAATCAGCCACAGCCCCACTTACGCTGAGGGCGGGCCTGGCTCAGGTTCACCCTGCCCCTGCCCCAGCCCTCAGCCGTCTGGAAATGAACAAGAGTGCAGAGCCCCAGGGTGTGCTGCCTCCTGGAGCCCTGTGTGCCCAAAGCCAGCCGGGGATGAAGTGAAGACTCTGCCCTCTATCCTGTAGAGAAGAGCTGAGGCCAGACAAGTCCTGAGGACACCAGCACCAAATGCAGTGATCAGAACCAGATATGGCAGCCCAGCCCCCTCCCCCAGCTTACCTGGCCTGTTATCTGTGGGTGGGGACAGGAGATCCCGCATCTGGGCGTCCTTGAGCCCTTCTACCCACTGCACATCCAGGGTCCGGAGCAGCGGACAGCTGGAACTACAGAGCGCAGAGACTGCAATCCACGAGCAGCCCGAAAGCACCAAGTCTCGGAGCCCTGGGAAGACAGGCATGGGTGTGGGTGAGCGGGTGTTCAGCCTGACTACTCCACACCCCGGGCCTGGCCCAGGGCTCACCAGGCAGCCGGTTGATGAGCCAGCTCAGCTGCTTCTTAGAGATGTTGGTCCAGCTGAGGTCGAGAGAGACGGGCTGGCGCCGGATGATGCCACTCAGCATCAGGGGCGTGATGGACCTGCAGTGGTTCAGGTCAATGCGGGTCCACAACCGCTTATCGCAGCACCTGGGCAGCAGGAGGGGCATTGTCAGAGGTAGGGCTCACCAGAGAGCCCCTGTTCAGCTGTGACCGCTTCCCCCACCTTCTATCCTCAGGGGCCTTCTGCCTAGTGCCCATCTGCTGCTCTCAGGCACCCTGCAGATGCCGGATGCACTCTCCACCCCAGACCTCCAGGAGCCTTGCAGCCCCACTGGAATGTCCCTGTAGGAGGCGGGCCTCACACCACTCAGACACCTTGGCAGGCGGGAGTAATGTCCAGCAGCACCCCCAATCCTAGCTAGGACTGCCCTTGGTGCTGCATTAGCTCACAGGGAGGTGCACGAGGAAAGCAAGCAGGCGCCGCCCCTGACAGGAGCAGACAGGCAGAGTCCCGGCAGCTCCCTGGATGCCGGCAGATGCCTAAGCTTTACTGAGGTTCACAGTAAAGTGCCACAAGTGACTCCAGGGGGGACACATGCCACCCATGGGCCACGACCCAGAGCCCTGAGCCAGGATGAGCCCTCACCAGCGGTTCCAGGTCCTGCAGACCCGCATGCAGACACACAGGTCTTGGTGGCTGAGGTAGCTGAAGACGGCCATCCACACCTCCCTGTGCATGACGTGGGCTGCCCCATCGTCCAGGGGCAGTGAGTCGGGTGGGGGGCTGATGGGGGGTGGCCGGATCACGTGGCGCTCCATCTGGATGCACTTGGGTGGGGACACAGAGGGCGGGGGCCGGGAGATGACACGGGGTGGGCTGCGAAGGCCAGGCCCCAGTGGGTGCCGCAGCTCCCGGGGGGTGCCGTTGAGCCCCTTGCTGAAGCGGTGGGGGCGCTCACAGAGGCCCAGCGGCCGCTTGGGCTCCTCATTCTCACTCTCGGGCTCTGACTTGATGGGCTGGTGGTTCTCATGGACCAGGCTACTCTCTGTTTTCTGGATCTCATGGTTGAGCTCCTTGCTCAGCTCCTTGCTCAGCTCCTTGTTGGGAAACCGCCGTTTCCGGCGCATCTTCACTTTCTTCTTTTCCTCTGAGCCTTCGGCTCCCTCGGTGCTGGGCCCTGCAGTGGGCGAGCTGGAGCGTGAGTGGTCGCTGTCCCTGCTTTTAGGGGGCGCCTCAGGCAAATCATCCTCTGGCTCCTGCTTGAAGCGCCGCAAGGGCTTGGTAGCCAGTGGCATCCGGTCCTCGGAGTTCTTCCAGGACCTCCGCTGCAGCAGAGGGACAGAAGCAGGGGGCCCACGGTCAGCATGCAGTGCCCACCTGGCCTCCCGACCAGACTGGCACCTTAGGACCTCTGGGCCCCAAGCACTTCCTATAGATGGGAACACCTGGGGCATGGGGAGTGGGGGAGAGGACGATACCTTTTTCCTGAAAAGCTTATCTTCTTTGCCAGGCTTTAGCTGTGATGGGAAGAAAGGATACACAGCTTGCTCCCAGGGATCTTGGAAGGTGGTCCCCTCTACCCACAAACCCACCAGGAGCCCCGTCTACCGCCCCCGAGAGCCATCTCCTCCTTCCCATCTCATTGGCAGCATGGACCCTGTGTCTGCTGCTTTCGAGGAGGAGGAGGTCGGCAGAAGGTTCCCGCCCGCTGACTCCCACCCGGCAGACCCAGAGCCTGCAGGCGCCATCACCTCAGCCCGGCTCCCGCCAGCCGGGGCTGGAGCACAGGCCTGC